AAACTTCCTTCCTTAAGGGACCCAGTCTCCCCTTCATGCAAGGTACTCTGAATTTATGGAAGGGATCAGGTATAAGAATTTGTGAAGAGGTCGCAACTGTCTATTGCGATTCCAGTCAGGATTCTGCTCACTAGACTAAAGCTTTTCTGTTTATAGTATCAAGTAAGACTTTAGTAGACTCCTTTCAGTTTTAAGAACACCTTGAACAATTATCCAAGACCACTGACATCTGAACTTCAAGTCACTCTGACAATTACTTTGGCTTTGTTTAGTAACTATTTGTAGAGACCTTTATAATAACCATATTTAACTTAACTCTGGAAATTAAATACCATAGGTCAGTCCCTGCCATCCTAGGATGCATCATCCCTTCATTAGGGATTCCAATGCAGTTGTAGTAGTTCCTACACTTGTTCCTGGCCTACAGATAATAGGCCACTGAGATCACTGATCTCAGCAGTGGGATCACTGAGGATAAAGAATACTAGAATCCCCTCCTGGATACATTTATCACAGCTTTGGTAAAGCAAATGATCTTTGGTTATTCTGAAGAATATAAGGAATTAAGAAAGTGTTTTCATGATGAATCCACTCTAAATTCTTATCTTCTTTAGCCTTTGGATACTTTCTTCTATCGGAACCAAGGAAGTTGTAGAATTTTAACTTCATTTGGTATAGGCCTTTTTGAGTCCAAAGTTCTGTTGATACTTCAAGAAAACTCTTAGAATTTATTTTAGTTACTGAGGCTAAGTTATTGAATCCAGAATCTGTACTTAATGTGAACAAATCAACAAATTCAATCTGATCCAGCATTATATTTCTTCTATTTTGCCCCATATGACTTAGGATCTATTCCCATATATGGAATGGTCAATCTCATATATTGATTTTTATTGGCATATTGCCTTTGGGTCTTCTGGGACTTGAATCTGGTTATATCTGGTTATAAGTCTAAAAGCAATAAGATTTGTGGAGGTACATCATCGTAAGAATCAATGTTTCATTGTTGCTTCAGGTTTAGCCATTATAGGTTCTTCAGACAAAGAGAGACAACGTTCCTCACTCAGGGGAGGAAGATGTACTTCTACTCAGGGAATTTAGACTCAGGCTCAGGAAAATTTAGTTTTAAGGTATTCAATTTTACTGAATCTGTTCATATGTGCTGTCCCCATTTTCAAAGTCAAATCTTTTTCCAATGAATTTCCTACATTTAACATACACACATTTAACATACACAACCCTGTGATTTTATGAAACTATTCTGTTCTGTAAAGCCTCCACTTTCATGATTACACTTGAAGTTTGTATCTCAGAAATCTCTGTCCTGTGTCTAGAAGAATTAAGTCTTTATGTAGTGCAAAGTCTTGAAACTTTACTTTCTTATCCATAATTTAAGGTGGAAAATTAAAGCGCTGAATTATTCATTTTCTTTAACTTCTCTAGTGCATTTTCAAGTAACCAACAAACTCCATTTTGGTCTTTATTTCCACAAAAAAAAATCTTCTAAACTGGTACTACTTGGCATAAAGTATAAGTCATTGGCCTTCTATAAGTCATTTGATTTTAGGTGTCTTACAGTTATTTAATCAACTGCTTTGTCACTGTGTGGCATGGACTACCAATGTCCCCTTTATCACTTGCAGTAGAGTTATTAATTCAGGGAATTTTAATCCTATTAGAGAATTAATTCCAGATGCCTCAGGAAATATGTATATAATTCATCCTTAAATGCTACTTTCCTTCCACCTTCCAAATTTTTATTATTGTCAGCAAACATATAGGGAAAATAATTTCAGAAATTTTGGTTCTAGAATAGCTGACCCCTATGGTAAGCATAGCCACAAGATGTGAGAAAAATTTTTTCTACCTTTTCCTTTTGAAATGAACTTAACTTCAAAGTTAAAGTTAAATACTCTAGAGCTTATAGTCAGTACACCTTCAATCATACCTGAGAAATTGCTGTCTATTTTGAGGAAGAACCCCTATGCCAGCAATCATCAAGCAGTGCTGGTCACTACTAACAGCTTTAATGTTTTTTCCCCACATATTAATTTCCTCCATGCATGGAACAGAGGAGTCTTGAAAAGTACAGAAACCCTGATAAGGCTCCAGCCTCTGGAGGTGCTTTTGTAGCAATTTCACCCTGACATCTATAATATTTACATGTTGGTGTGTGTCTTACATAACTTTGTCTATACATACTTCATTCTGGGTATTTACTTCTGCCCCTTTTTAGTTTAGTAATTTTTTCTACACTTAGACCTACTTTTATAAACCTTTCCATTAAATTTTGAATTTTAATTTCTAAAGTTACATTTGTATATATGATTTTCACTTTTCCATTGGTTATATGAATTGCTATAGGATCTCAGTTTTTATAAAGATTCTTCCAAATTTTTTCATTCTTACTACAGAGTGTGGGCTTTCAAACCTCACCTCAGTGTGTGAGAGGTTTGACAGAGTTTCTTTTCTTCATTGATTCCTTATGTAGAAAAAATTCAGACATGCTTTAAAAAGAGGTCAGATCTTTGCCATCAGCTTCTAGGAGATAACGTATACCATTCTTTAAAGGAATATCTTTATTAGGACAATTGCTAGCCTCCTTGGAACCAGTTGCAACCAACAGTCATAGGATCAAATTAGCCAGGCCAAAAAGAACAATCATGGGATTTAAGGAAGGGACTCTGGGTCATGCTTTGGAGACTAAGTTCAACCATGTCAGTAATCAATCAATCAATCAATCAATCATACCTATGTAAAAGAGCCCCAACAAAATCTTTGAACACAGCCTCAGGTGAGCTTCCCTGATTGGCAATATTCCATGTGTGCTGGAATATCAATGCCACAATGATGTGCCAATATTACATCAATGCCAAAAGAATAACACGTTCTGATACTACAGGAAAGGATAATAGATGCTTCACATTTCAAACCCTCCCAGACTCTGCCCCATGTATCTCTTTCTTTGGCTGATTTTAAACTGTATTCTTTCCCTGTAATAAACCATAACCATGAGTAAAATAGCTTTCTGAGAGTTCTATGAGTCCTTCTAAAGAATTATCAAAACTGAGGGAGTGATCTCAGGACCCTCTGAACCTGCAGTTGGTATCTGACATAAGAATGGTATTGTGGAGGACTGGCTCCTCAACCTTCACAGTTTGGCTAACTCTAGGCAGACCTTGAATGCCAATGCTACTGTTTTCCCTCCAACATGGAAAGTTTATCTTTCTGGTCTGTTAACCACCCCTCAGGAATTGGTAGAGGTATCTTGCAGAAAAACTGCTTCTGATATCAGAATCCTCTTGGCTGCTTTTTTTTTTTTTTGAATCCCAACTTCCAAAGTATTCCCAATCTGTGATTCCTTTAGAGCAGATGTTTCATATACTTTTTAAAGTTTTGCTGTTTTTAGATAGACATTTCAGTTCATATTATAGTCCAGTCTTATCAAAATGAAAAAAAAGATGAAAAGAAAGCATACATTGTTTTAAAAAAGACTAATTAAAATGACTTATTTCCTAACATATAAGGAGCTTTAAAAGCTAGGTAGCATCAACAATCTGCTGGAAAATAGGCAAATGATATAAATAAATCATTTATTCTTAAAATTCACAAATAATCCTGAGATTGGGACACCTGGGTGGCTCAGTCCATTAAACAGCTGCCTTTGGCTCAGGTCATGATTCCAGACTCCTGGGATGGACCCCCACATCAGGCTTCCTGCTTAGTACAAAGTCTGCTTCTCCTTCTTCTTTTGCCCATCCCCTGCTCATTCTCCCTCTCTCTCACAAAGAAATAAATAAAATATTTTAAAAAATAATCCTGAGATTACATGAGGGTGCAAAACTTCAGGGTTTATCAAAATAGGAGAGGTCCAAATTAGACACACCAAGATATGATTTCTCACCTACTAGATTGAAAAAAATCTTGAAATATCATTGTGAACATATGAATATTTTCTCCTAAAAATGTGTATTTCCAACTTTGTTTATTCTAAAATCCAAGTAGTGATGGGCAACTCTAGTGTTTATAATTTAATATCAAAAATATCTCTCATTATTTTTAAAAACATTTATTTATTTATTCATGAGAGACACAGAGAGAAGCAGAGACATAGGCAGAAGGAGAAGCAGGCTCCCTGTGCTGATCCCAATGCAGGATTCCATCCCAGGATCCAGGATTATGACTTGAGCCAAAGGCAGATTCTCAACCACTGGGCCATCCAGGTGCCCAAAATATCTCTCATTAAATAACCAGGGAAGTTGGAGAAATTCTTGGTTCCAAGTCTAAGGTACAAAAGGTACAAAATGAACCTAAAGTATTTTATTCCAGAAGTAAGGGGATTCTCAGAGATTAATGTGATCATGTAAAAAAAAATGTCAACTAGAATCAGTTTCCAATGGCATCAGATGGAAAAATTTAAGGATCATAAAGGAAACAACCAAAAAACTGAATCATGTCCACAATGTAAAAGACCAAGTAAGGGATCTTATCTTAATCATAACAAAAATACACTCACTGGTCAATGTTGAAGTCTCCTAGGGCACCAAAATATAATTTTAAACCCAGTGAATAAAAAAAATAATATATACTTATCATTTTGTCTATATCCACTGTATTAAAAGTCAACCAAGCAATTGATGACGTTTTAAAAGGAGAATCATAGCTAACAAGTAGGAGAAGAACATTATAATTTAAAATTATCATTTGTAATCTTGAATGAAAGTTTTCTTTTTTCAATTTGTAATTCTAAAATTAGTAGGATGAAATGCTTTTGGGGAAATTGACCACAGACAAAAGGATAAAACTGAATTTCAAAATTTGATAACCAGGGGTATGTGCCTCATGAACTTACCTACTTGGAAGTCCACATAACTATATCTAGAGATGTTTTGCTCCCCTACACTGATCCTAAATCTAATAACATCTCTAGATATAATTACCAGTTTCAAGGAGCTACAGACTAACTTAGTTATCATATAAACAAAAAATGTGGAATATTGATGCTTGCTTCGGCAGCACATACATTAAAATTGGAACAATACAGAGGAGATTAGCACGGCCCCTATGCAAGGATGATACGCAAATTCGTGAAGCATTCTGTATTTTTTTAAAAAAGGAATATTGTACAGAACAAAAAAGATCAGTGCAGAAAAAGCAAAGTAAAAAAAAGAAAGAAAAAGCAAAGTAAGAGAGATATCACAATAAAAATTATGAAAGGCATAACAACAGAAAAACTATGCTAATTTTATTTTAGTAATCTGTTCATATTGCATAAATACATTTTATCCAAGAAGTCGTAGAAGTGAATTCTTTATTTGTATAGGTCAGTTGTGATATATTTTTATAAGAGGTAAAATAACTAATTATGGCAGCAAATAAATATTGGGACCTAATTCCCAATATCAACATTGACTTATTTTCTGTATGAAGTTTTGTAGACATATCTGATTGATTTTTAAATCCATGTTACTCCTAAACTTTTAGTTTGAAATTTCTTTGTCTCTACTTTACCAATCCTAATAACGTTTATTAACATGTAAATGATTTATAAACAGCACTTATGTGCAGTAAGTGCTGATATTAAAAGTTTAATGATGTTTTTAAGTCAATAGTTCTAAGTTAATATAAATCAGTATTATATTTCTTCTTGTGAATTCATATTAGAATGTAAACTCCAAAGCAAGGCACACTGAAATTTTTAAAGTTCTTTTTATGCTCAGTGGAAATACACTGATGTTACACACTTCAAAAGCAGAAAAGTTCAATGGAGAGAATTTTATATTGATATATAGAGAATAAAGGTCCCCAAAAGAATCTCCTACAGCATCTCTGAAATCACCTGAGATTTCCTTGAAATTTTGTTTCAGATTCAGGGAAATGTTGAGATGGTACTATATGAAGTTTGCATGTGCATTTACTTCATTTCTGCCAGTAACTCTTTAAAATCCTTAGTTATTTCTGTAGATAAGCATCCATTATAAGGAACAGGTATTTTTAGATGCCCATTCCAAGCCAAGAGAATATACTATTCATGACAGAAAATACCAGTTTTTGTGGCCTGAGGCCTAAAAGAAATTAGTGTATCCTAAATTTAGAAAATCAGGAATGGGGCCAAAATAAATATTATACATTACTTGTCTATTAATGTATTCACTTTAAAATGAAAGTTCTCTCGGTGAAGTTATTTCTGAAGTAACTGTGTTAGCTGGGTAGAGGATTTTTATTTACGTATTCATTTATATGTTTGCTTAAAGATAATAGAAATGGGAGAAATAGGGGTGAATGAAACAGCGAGGGAAGAGTTGGCTTCTTCAAAATTGCACTGGATTTTAAGTTACACCTCACCATTTCTTATTTTAAAGCAATCAAAGGAGGAGAAAACAATAGAACTTTTTCTCTAGGAAAAAAAGTAGAAGCATCATAAATTATTGAAAAGAGAATTGGAGGAGTAGAATCAATTTTGCTAAAGAATAATTTTCAATAGATTAAACATGAGAAAAATCTTTGCAGAGCTTGTACATGGCGACCTCCTGCATTCACGTGAACTCTGAACATGTAAGAGGTACTGAACAATGAATGCACTCTCATCCTCATTGGTCAGAGTGCTCAGGGTTTAAATATAGTCTTCACCCCTCCATGGGATTACCAGCAAGGGGAAGCATAGCTGCTGTCCTTAGATCCTCTGCACTGGGAGCCACAATGCAAAGGCATCACTCAATATTGTCTGCTGTTGCTTAGAATCTGCTGATTTGCGTCTCAATTTAGATGGTGCTTTTTGCCACTGGTCCCATCCCATGATTACAGAGGTTGCATAAGAAAAATTACTTTTAACATACCAAAGTTTGGCACTTAAGCAGAGGGTTCTGAGAACAAATTAAAATTGTGCTATTTTCATTTATGAGTCTTTATTTTAAGGTTCCAAGGGGGGGGGAAAGCATGGTCTTTCTGGAAAATGAATACAACACTCTGTGTTTCTGTTTTTTTCAAAATAGACTTAAGATAATCAGTCGACCAGTATTTATGAAATTGATATTCATAATACATGACCATTGTATATCATTTCAAAGCTTACACAGTGTGTTCACATTTATTTATCTTTCTCTGTTCTGCTAAGGAGTCATGGGTTACAGGATTATTATCCCTTTTTTTTTTTTTTATGAAGGAATGATTTCATTCTGAGGAAAGTTACTGATTTAACCAGCCCAACAGCTGGCCTGGCCTCATCAAAAAAAATAGTTTACAATCCAGAGCAATCAAGTGGGGAATAGTGAGGCAAAATGACTTTCTGCCTATTAATAAATTTTTGTTTATGCCAATTTTAGGCCACTTATCAGATACCACCTCAAAAGGAATATAATAAAAATAGCAATAGCACAATTATTAACAAATTTCATTGAGTGTTTCTTATGTACTAGGCACTATGCTAACCCTCATTTCACTCCACATTTGCAGCAACCCCAAGGGAGAAGAGTTATTATTACTACTATTTTAGAGATAAGAAAAGTAAATTCCAATTCCAAAATTTGTGTGACACATTACAGTGACAGCTCAAAAAGTGATTCTAAAAAGTTAATCTCTTAATTAGAAAAAATTAGAAATACCTTAACCAAATAATTGTGCTTACATTCTCCTTTTATGTATTTCCATGACTGTTCCTTGTGTAAAAAATTTAATCCTAAAAGAATTCTTTCAATAAATACAAAATACAACTCTAAGTAATAAAAAGAACCATTTAATAGATCTAATGACAATGTCTTTTCCTTCTTAAAATTATTATTAAAAATATTGGTGCATCTTATAATCTGTCAGTTTTATATCAAAGAAAATGCAGTAATTGTAATACTAAATTCTTAGTATTTTAACATCTGTAAAGAGAAAAATGGATTCAGAGGGAAAAAATACACTGTTATCTGTTATTCCATTATTATCTCTATATTAATCAACACCAGGAGGTTGGACGGTTAAATTCTATAATCTATAAATTCTAACATTCTAACCCCCAAAGAAAAAAACACATGTTTTGTTGACAAGGGTAATCACCTGTTTCTTCCTTTTTTTTAATTTTTTTTATTTTTATTTATTTATGATAGTCACACAGAGAGAGAGAGAGAGTCAGAGACACAGGCAGAGGGAGAAGCAGGCTCCATGCACCGGAAGCCCGACGTGGGATTCGATCCCGGGTCTCCAGGATCGCGCCCTGGGCCAAAAGCAGGCGCCAAACTGCCGCGCCACCCAGGGATCCCCTGACTGTTTCTTCCAACAAGAGAATCTAAAACACTATGAACACACGGGATAAATCCAGCAGACCTGAAGCACTGCAATTCTTGATCAGTGTACATGTTTCAACTAAATCAGTAAGGAATCCCAATGAGTCACCAGAGCTTCATTCCATTCTACTCCAAAATTCTTCCTTCATAGCCTAGAAGTATTTATTTTCATGTGTAAAATATAACTTAATTTATGTATTAGTGATTTCTGATGCTCCTGTCGAATCATAAATCTATCTGGAAATGGAACAATTCTTTCCCTACATTGTTAAATCCTAGAATAATGCTGAGCATTAATGACTTACTAAATATTTCGTGGGTGGGGGGAGCCTGGGTGACTCAGTCGATTAAGTATCTGCCTTTGACTCAGGTCATGATCCTAGGGTCCTGGAATAGAGCCCTCAGTAGAGTTCCCTGCTCAGCAGGGAGCCTGCTTCTTCCTTTCCCTACCTTTCCCTCTCATGCTAGCTCTTTCTCTCTCAAATAAATAAATAAAATCTTAAAAAATATAAAATAAGTATTTGTGGAATTAAACTAAATACTCCTTCTACTGTTCTTATTTACTAGTTACAGATCACCATTTAAAGATTATATTTGTTGCTCTTACGCTACAGGCACAATCTCACAAGTCTCACATAACAGGCAGTATTGCAGAATGATTATTAAGAGCAAGGACTCCAGAGTCAAACAGACTCAATTTAGAGTCTTGATGCTCCCTAACTAGCTGCGGAGATCTTGCACAATGATGCCTTTCTAAACCACAATTTAATACCTATAGAGATAATACACATCCCACAAGAATTTGTTAGATTCAATTAAATAGCACATATGAAATAGCATAATACCTAACATGTGGTAAGTATTCTGAACTCTTAAATTATTAGTATTAATATTGTTGTTTTTATCATCAGTCAAGGCCCCAACAGAAAACAAATTCAAATCGAATGGTTCAAATGAAGCGACAGTCATGAAGGACAATTCACCGAGGTTTGGGCAGGATTTAGGAAGCCAACAGGAGGTACTGGAAGAAGCAGAGAGACGGCAACAATGAAGAAACACCAGCTTCTAGTTCTGAAGGGGCTAGGAGATAATGTGAGCTCCTGTAATGCAGTGAGAGCTTGAGTTTGGGAGAAAAAAATGTGGGTGCTATCAGAATTGAGGCTCCAAAGTCAGAAAGGAACAAGTAAGAAATTCCCAAACCTCTTCTTCCTTCCCCTCTTCAATATCTTGCCAGTGCTTCCTATTACTTAAAATCAATGGGATGATGTAATTTAAAAAGTAGCCCTCTAATAAAAGTAAGTGTGGTGAGTCAGAGGCAGGAGGAGATCAATTGGAAAGGGCAGTGGTAACAAATAACTATACCTCCCATACCTCTATTAGGATAAAACAAGAAATTCTTTAATTTGTAAACTTACCTCCCCTACAGTGCACCATTAATTCACACTTAATAAATTAAGCAAGTTATGAAATGCTGAGTAGGAATGTTAGAATTTTTTTACTAAAAAAAAAATTAAAATTTAAAAATTTAAAAAAGCGTAAATTTTCCCATGTAAATTTGCATGGTTTCTATGAAAATGAATTAATTTTTCTCACTACTATAGAGAAGTAATTTGATTGAATCTGAAATATTTGAATACGTTATGAGGATGTGTTTTGAAAATGGAATTGGGAAATAAAGGTATTGACAATGAACCTCTGATATAGCCTCCCTTATGTTCTAACAACAAAGGTCTTCATGGTCTTCTAAAGAAAAATTAAATGAAAAATTCATTGAAGCCAGACTCCAGAGTAAAGACAGTTCAGTTTATGTTCAGAAATCATCTAACACTTCAAACCATGG